GCGTGGGGGTTCAGCCAGATCCCTGCAGGTCCCGAGTGAGTCTGAGCCCTGCCTCCTCCAGCAACGTTCGGGGAAGGGAGAAGTACCCCTGGGGAGATGATTAGGGCAATGGTTGGCTTCTCTTTTCCTCCTCCTCCGGCCCCCAGCCAGGCGGGGATCGGAGCCCCTCTCCTGACCGCTCTCCATCCTTTGCAGGAGATCATGCGTGACTACATCCAGAAGCACCCCGAGCTGAACATCAGCGAGGAGGGCATCACCCGCTCCACCCTCACCAAGGCTGAGCGCCAGCTCAAGGACAAGTTTGATGGACGACCCACAAAGCCCCCTCCGTGAGTCCTGTCCCTCCCCGTTCGGGTGCGAGGGGTGTGTCCCTCTCTGAGCTACGGGGCGGACGCTGGTTCTTGCTAACGAGGAAACTGGGGCTCTGCCTGGCTTTGAGGGCCCCCAGAGCATCATTGCTGGGACCACGGGCATGGGCTGCCGATGACTCCCTTAAACTGGTCCTTAAATACACACTAAATACACATTTGCAGAGAATCTGAGCGAGGTTTATGGTGATGCTGCGTGCTCCGGGTTAGGGGGTAATCCAACCCCTAGCTTCCTTAAATGCAGACACCTCTGGCACAGCATTTCACTGCCCGGTGCAACCCAGAGGGCAGCTGGGGGGTCTTGGGGGGCTCTTAGCACCCAGCCGGCTCCGCAGAGGGGACGTGAGCGGGGCAGGTTGTCCCTAATGCCGTGTCCCTCCGTCGGTTGCAGGAATAGCTACTCCCTGTACTGTGCAGAGCTGATGGCCAACATGAAAGACGTGCCCAGCACCGAGCGGATGGTGCTGTGCAGCCAGCAGTGGAAACTGCTCTCCCAAAAGGAAAAGGACGCGTACCACAAAAAGTGTGATCAGGTGGGTGGCTGAGGATGGACGGACGGGTGGACAGGCAGATGGGCACCGGTGCTGTGGGGAGGGAGGAGTGGGATGGGAGAGCTTGGGCTACAAATCTCGCTGGAAGTGAGCCCCTCACCTTTCCTCCGTGCCTGTTCTTGTCGTCTTGACCACCAGTTCCCCCCTGAGGTCCTCGGTCACCTCCCTCGGTCCTCTGTCTCCCCAGTCCACGTGTGTGGGACCAGCAGATGGTCCGGGTGGAGGATGCTGTTGCTGAGGGGGCTGAGAGCGGGTCGGGGACTGCACCAGGCAGGGACGGGGCGGGGGGTTCTCTGTGTAACCGCAAGTCTCCCTCTCCCTCCAGAAAAAGAAAGACTACGAGATTGAGCTCCTCCGCTTCCTGGAGGTGAGTGACACGGGGGTGCCTCGGCCGTCGGGTGCTGGAGACCCCGAACGCGGGGAGGGAGCCCTGGCCAGGGGCTGAGATGGGTTAAACGGGGGCTGCACTGATGCTGCCCTCTTCTGCTCCCCCCAAAACGTGGCTGGACCCGGCCATGGGCGCTGTGCAGAGATGTTGGCGCGTAGTTTTGCCCCTTCCCCGGCTGCGCGCGTGCCGGTGTTTTCCAGCTGGGCCCTGGGAGGTGGGGACGGCCCCCTCCCCCGGGCCAGGAGGGGAAGCCGGGGGGTGAGCGGAGGG